TGGTAAGCCCCTATGGAATGGAATTACTCAGATTTCCACATTTCCACACTCAGGACTCTGCTTCCTCTACAGTCCTTTTGCCTTTTCTGTGGGGTGTGGGAACTCAAATACTTCACTAAACTCTGGCCTTGAGGAGCCTGCTAACCTTTCCTGGTGAGCCCTTATGGCTGTGGCATTTGCCAGTTCCTGCTTCCCTGGCCTTTACTCTCATCTCCATGACGGTGGAGAGGAAGGCAACAACAGTGGGCGGGATCTCACCCAAGGTCAGAAAGGCTTGGGTTCAAATACAGTAAGGTAACTTTGGGGTGACCACACAAAGCCTGAGTCGCCCCAACTTCTTCAGTAAAATGCAAACACAAGAACCAACCCTCCGTGAACTACAAGTAGAGAAAATTAAATTTTAAAAAATTAATGTTTAAAAAAAAGCTGGGCCGTGGTGGCACATGGCGGCTTTAATCCCAGCACTCGGGAGGAGGATCTCTGAGTTCCAGCTTGGTCTACGAGTTCCAGAACAGCAAGGGCTACACAGAGAAACCCTGTCTCCAAAAACAAACAAACAAACAAACAAAAAGGAGAAGGAATTTTAAAAAGATACACTATATCAGCCTCCCAGTACAGAAATAATAGATGTTAACCCAAGACCTCCTTCCTTGTCCTCCACTTCGGCCGAGCATCCTACTCCGAGCTCTCTCCTTCCCAGGAAGTTTTCCGGTGCATTTCCAGGTTGCTGCCTTGTCTTCTCCCAGTGTGCTGACAACAGAGTTCTTTCCTTTCTTTCTAAGTTCTCAAGTTTCTTCTTTTTTGTTTTGTTTTGTTTATCATGAAAAGGTTTCTCTGTGTAGCCCTGGCTGTCCCAGAATTGTCCTGGAACTGGCACTGTAGACCAGGCTATCCTTAAACTCACAAGAATCTGCCCCCAACTGCCTCCCAAATGCTGGGGTTAAAGGTGTGTGTCACCATCACCCGGTTCAGTTTCATTCTTAAAAGACTTATTTTGTGCCGGGCCACGGTGGCACATGCCTTTAATCCCAGCACTCAGGAGGCAGAGACAGGCAGATCTCTGTAAATTTGAGGCCAGCCTGGTCTACAGAGTGAGTTCCATGACATTCAGGACTGTTACACAAAGAGACCCTGTCTCGAAAAACAAAAACAAACAAACAAAGACTTATTGTGTGTGTACATGGATGCACACAGGATGCCCACACCTGTGAGCAAGCACAGACTCATAGCAGCTTAACCAGAGGTGCTTTTACCTCACTAGGTTGCTCAGGACTCTGGGAAAGGATGAATATCTAGAGGCAGAGAACTACGGAGGAGTCCGAACTCTACTCTAAACTTCTACCGAGACACCCAGTTCTCCAGACCTCCGATTGCCCATCTGGAAAAGATGTACTGAAATGTCTACCTCGTGACAGGCAAGATAATTCGGTGGGTAAAGAGGTGCTTGCTACTAAGTCTGACAGCCTGAGTCTGACACCTAGGATTCCCACAAGCAGTCTTCTGATTGCCACACACACACCACGATACATGCACGCCCCCTCCCAGTAAGTAAAAAAGCAGGGATGACATTTTTATTTTTAAGTTTTATGTGTATGGGTGTTTTGCTTGCATATATATTTGGGTGCCATGCGTGTGCCTGGTACCTTTGGGGGCCAGAAGAGGGTTTAGATGCCCTGAAACTGGAGGTAAGGACTGTTGTGAGTCACCATGTGGGTGCTGGGAATCGAACTTCAGTATTCTGGAAGAGCAACAGTGTTCTTATTCGCTGAGCCATCTCCCCAGACTGATACATTAAAAAAAATATATAAAGAAAAGTCTGATGTAATTGCTAGGAAGAACAGATGAGCCTGCATATGCGAAAGGCCTTTTGTTATGAACTAAATAAAAAGCACCGTACATATACATATACTTTTTCCTTACTTTCTCCCCCCCCCCCTTTTTTTTTGGTTTTTTTGAGACAGGGTTTCTCTGCGTTACAGCCCTGGCTGTCCTGGAACTCCTTTTGTAGACCAGGCTAACCTCGAACGCACAGATCCACCTGCCTCTGCCTCTCAAGTGCTGGGTTTAAAGGCATGTGCCACCATGCCCAGCTTGTTTTGTTTTGTTTTAGACAGTTCCTCTGTGTAGCCCTGGCTGCCCTGGAACTTGCTCTATAGACCAGGCTGGCCTTAAACTCAGAGATCTATCTGATTGCCTCTGCCTTTGTTTTTTTTAAGACAGGGTTTCTCTGTAACTTTGGAGCCTGCCCTGGAACTAGAACAGGCTAGCCTCGAACTCACAGAGATCCGCCTGCCTCTGCCTCCCGAGTGCTGGGATTAAAAGTGTGAGCCACCATCGCCCGGCTAAGATTTCATTTTTTAACTATGTTTGTATATGTGGGTATGTACACGTGAATGGAAGTGTAGGTGGAGGCAGAAGAGGGTGTCAGATCCTTTGGAGCTGGAGTTTGAGACTGTTACCACTGAGTCACCTCAACAGCCGCCACTACTCCTCTTATTCCAATGACAAGGACTCCAGTTGGGCGTGGCTGGCAGATCTCCAAATTCAAGGCCAGCCTGGTCTACAAAGTGAGTTCCAGGTCATCCAGGACTACAAAGAGAAACCCTGAACCAAATGAGAGAGAGAAGGTTTCGGTATGTAGCCCAACTCCCGTAAGTCGCAGTTCTCTTGCCTCTAACTCCTGAGTGCTGGAAGGTGTATCAGAAACCCTGGTGCTTGTGTGCACACGTGCATGCACATACACACAGACATACACGTACCAAACGCTATAAACAGACTATTATTTAAAGAGTCTCGAACCCACTGACAACTGCACTGTCAAACCTAAGAATTAAGAATCGGTTCATCCCACTGAACTCCACCTCCAAAAAGATTCAACAAGCCACATTCCAAACTACTGTACCTAAATTAGGTTAAAGCTCACAGTAACCATTAAATAGACATTATGGCAACCTAGGAAACACAAAGCCCCCTCTCTCATCCTCAGATCTCCGCCCTGCTGAAAATGGAGATTCAGGGTCAGATAACTAGTTAGGAATCCTTGCTGGAAATTTCCAGCAAGATACCCAATTCTCTAAGCCCTCGGTTCCTCAAATGGAAAAGGATGGAAAAATGTCTACCGAGCATAAGTGCCATGAGGGGCTGATGAGCCCACGTATGCCCAGCTCAGGACACACACACAAGACACACACCATCTAGAACCTGTTTTGCCCGGGTTTGGGCCTCGCATCATTTCTAGCTTGCAGCAGACTTCTATGGGAGAAAGAAGTCTGAAGACATTAGGGAGGGTACCGTTGTAGCTGTGGTAGGGTAAATCTTGGTAGTAGAAGGAAAGAATCTGCTGGAATTTCATGTCCAACACAGTTGCCAAACGTACTATAATTATCGCATTTGTGTAAAAATTCAAGGATCTGCATTCTGCTATTTTCATCAAACTGGATGAACTTCAGACACTAGGGAAAATGGCAAGAAGTTGGGGGTTCTGATTCTTGTGCCCGAGCACCAGAGTACTGACTAACAACCGAAAACCGAAATCCCCCATCACTTTGCTGTGGGCCCCCAGCATCCCCGGACTTGAAGCTTCGGCTCTTCAGCCCCCAATCTTTCCCATTAATGTCTTGTTGGCACCTCAGCCTTTCTGTTCTGTCAAGAGCGAACTCTTTTTCTACCCGATTCCCACTCCTGGGGCATGGGGGTGGGGCTTTGTCTCTGCGATGGACACCCCCCCACACACACACACACAACCCAGGCACTTTACAAATACCAGAACCCAAGGGTTTCTAAGCGGGAAAGAAAAAGAGTTATGAGTGGCAGAAGGGACCTTCTGCCCTCTGAGGGTAGTGTGTGTGTGGGGGGGTCGGCTCTGCTTCTTTAGGGTCCCAGACCTGCAAGGGCGCCCCTCAGTCACCAGAGTCCTAGCACCCAGCAGTCCCCGTAAATTCCCTGCCTGGTTACTGCCCACCCGGGAGGCCTCTGAGGCCAGTGATGGATGCCACGACCGGAAATGCCCTCCTGCTCAGCCGACCCAGACCGCGCCCCCCTTTCCTGCCGCCCCCTCCCCCAGGGCTAGGCCCGCAGGCCCCGGATCCCCGGACTCGCGTGGCCGCTGTAACCGACTGGGGCGACCCATCAGCCGGCCATTGTCCCTGGCCCTCGCCGCGGCCCCTCCACATCTAGGCACTGCGAATCCAAAGCGAATACAAAAGAAACCGGGGATCCCACTACCAGGCTCGGACCACCCCCTTTCGGTGTCATCCGCAAAGCATCAGTGCACCCCTAATGCTCCATACCCAAGGGAGACTGCTCCCCACCACCGCCACGGAAGAAAATCCCAAGACATCCCCTGGGGGCTGCAGTGGAGACTCAATCTCCCAGGCGGCAGGTGCCCGGCCACACAATAACTTTGAAACTTTGGGGCAGGGGTACCGGAGTCTGCACAGGGATCCCCCAAAATAGTTCATGGCAATGGGGGTGCTATTGCTTTATTCTTGCAAAGCCGCCTTTCCAGGTGGCCGGGCCCCGACTTCCCGCGCCTCCTCCGCGCGCGGCCCTGCCCGGCCCTGCCCGGACGCCCCAACC